CCGTAGCCATGTTGGCTCAAGCCATTTTGGCTCAAGCGGTCGCATGGCCTCGCCTGTGCGCGCCCCCTGCTCGGCTAGGGGCGGCTGCGGGATGTCGGGGCCTAGAGGGGCTCCCTCGGCCCACGGTGCCTCTTTGGTGGAGGCCGCCGTGCGAGCCGCGGTGCGCCCTGGGGCGCCGCGGCGCACCGTCGCGGCTGTTGCGCGCTCGGCCATCTCCGCCACGCTCTTCGCGTGCGGAGAGGGGCCGATGCCGACGGCCGAGGCGGCACCTGCCGCTGCGGCCCCCGCCATTCCTGCGCTGCCTGCTGGGTCGCCCGCCGCCTTGGCGGCGAAGGCGGAACGGCGGCGGCGCCGCCGCCGTGCCCTCGCAGCACGGCGCGCCGCGGGGGCGCCACCCGCTGCTGCTCCCGCGGCGGCTGGCGCTGGGTCTGGTACTGGAGCTGCTGCCTTGAGCCCGAGGGAGCGGCGGAGGCAGAGGTGTCCGACGCGATGGTGGAGAAGGTGCTCGACGACGAGTGGGCCGACTCGACCCCGGTCCCTGCGGCGGCGGAGGCCGTGCCCGCGGGTTTACGGGGTTGCCTCGAGACTGGGCCCGTGCTGACGGCTGGAGCGGGGCCTGCGGTGCCATGCATGGCGGCATCGGACCTCGGGGCCGACGTGGGCGACGAGAAGGCGGAGGGCCTCGCCTCCCGCCGGCGGCAGAGGAGGCGGGGGCGGCGGCAGCCGTGCGTGGGCGGGGGCCTCGCGGCTGCCTCGGTGTCGGCGGCGGCGGAGCTGGCGGCGGCGCCCTCGGCGCCTGCTGCTTGCGGAGGAGGCGGCTCGGCGGTGACACTTGACGACGTCCAGGCGCTCGCGGTGAGCTCGGTCGAGCTGTCGGTCGGAGTGACGCTGTGGCAGTCAGCGGAGGTGCGGCGCATGCTGGCGGCGTCAGGGCCCGCTGGGTCACCGCCAGGTCGGCGCCTGGCTTCGGCCAAGTCGGCGTGAGGCGATCGCTCCTAGGGGAGCTGGCGGCGCGGCGCCGCGGGGAGCTGCGCCCGTTCGCCGCCTTTGCCGTCGCCGCTTTCGCCTACGACATAGTCGTGGTGCTGGAGGCGGCCCATCGGGTGCGGGACTCGGTGGTGTGGTGGCCTCGGAGCTGCTGCGCCTGCAGCTTGGCCGTGCACGTCCGAAGAGGAAACACACGAGCGCGAACGCGCGCGCACGCACGCGCGCACGCGCACACGCACGCGCGCACGCACGCACGCACGCACGCAGGCACGCACGCACGCACGCACGAACACGCGCACCCACACACGCACACACGCACACACGCAAACGCGCACACGCGCACACAAGCACATACGCGCACGCACGCGCACCCGCGCGCACGCACGCGCGCACACGCGCACACACGCGCACACACGCGCACACACGCACGCACACTCGCACACACGCACACGCACGCGCACACACGTGCAAACGCGCACGCACACACGTACACACGCGCACGCACACGCGCACGCGCGCACACGCGCACGCGCACCCGCGCGCACACACGCGCGCACACGCGCACACACGCGCACACACGCGCACACACGCACGCACACTCGCACACACGCACACGCACGCGCACACACGTGCAAACGCGCACGCACACACGTACATACGCGCACGCACACGCGCACGCGCGCACACGCGCACACACGCACACACACGCACACACGCGCGCGCACACACGTTCACACAAACGCACACACACACGCACACACGCACACACGCACACGCACACACGCACGCACACACGCACACGCGCACGCATACGCACCCGCACGCACTCGCAAGCACGCGCGCGCACACACACACATTCGCACACACACGCACACGCACACACGCACGCACGCGCACACAAACGTACACACATGCACACACACGCACACAAGCACACGCACACACACACACACACACACGCACACGCACACACACACGCGCACACACACGAACACACATGCACGGAAACACGCGCACACACTCGCACACACATGCTCACATACTCGCACGCACGCACACGCGCACACACGCACTCGCACGCACGCGCGCACACGCACGCACACGCTCGCACGCACGCACACAAACGCACACACACACACACGCACACACACGTACACACACACGCACAAACACGCACACACACGCATACGCACGCACACACGCGCACACACGCACGCACGCACACGCAAACACACACACACACACGCGCACACACGCACACACACACGGACACACACACGTACACACACGCACACACACACACACGCACACACGCGCAAACACGCACGCGCACGCGCACACATGCACACACACACACACGCACACACGCTCACACGCACACACACGCACACACGCACGCACGCACGCACACGCACGCACACATACGCGCACGCACACACACGCACGCACACACGCACATACATACACGCATGCACACAACCACGACCGCATACACACAACCAAATACACATACGCGCACACACACACACACGCGAACACATACACACAATCAAACTCACGGACGCACGAAACGTAGGCCTGCTGCCTGCCGCGTCGGCCCCTTCTGGTCCCGTGTCGTCTTGGCGGCCTCTTGGTCGGGGGGTTCTCGTGGTCCCCGTTCCCTTGGCTGACGTCTATCTCCGTAGTGTGCTGGTCCTGGGCCTGGGTACCCTGTTGGCCCTGTGTTTGGGCCCGATTCAGAGGGCCGTGGCGGTCCCCTTGGGGATCTCGGGGCGTGGTACTCTGCAGTGCGCCCGTGAGCAGACCTCAGTGGTCCCGTGGGTGCAGGCCCCTTGGGCCTGCAGCGATGTACAGGTTGTCATTGGGTTTTGCTCTCGAGCCCTGACCCGCACACAAAACACAACGCACACACAACACGCAACACACAACACACAACACACAACACACAACACACAACACACACAACACACACCACACAATACACACAATACACACACTACACACAATACACACAACACACAACACAGGCAACACAACCACCACCACGCAACACACATACACACTCACACCAGACACGGCACACAACACACACACACAGCACGCACAACACACACACACCACAACGCACACAACATACAACACACACGACGCACACAAGACACAACACACACCACACACACAACACAAAACACACATAACACATCACACAACACGCAGCACACACACAACACACAACACGCAACACGCAATGTACTCAACACATACATCATACAACACACACCACACAACACACAAAACATAGCACACACAACAAACAACACAACACACAGCACACAACACACAACACACAACACACAACACATACACCACACAACATACACACAACACAACACACAACACACAACACACACAAACCACATAACACACAACGCACACCACACACGACACACAACACACAACACACAACACACACGCACACCACACACACGCGCACACACATAATGGGCCTCGTGTTCGTGGGATCGAGAAGTTGACGCCCTCTCCTCGGCGGAACCAGCGCGGGGACGCCGAAAGCCGGCGGAAGGCTGGCGGAAAAATCGCTCTTCAAGATATGACAACGCCTTGCTGATCTTGTGAGGTAGGCGCATGCATCGAGTGATGGGTATGTCGTGAGGGGCGTGCGCAGAGAGCTGCTTACACAGCAACATCAGCCACTGATTACAATGCGTTGAACAGGGAACAGGAATATTTGAGAACTTTCTTTTGGATGCACCATTCCTGGAACGGCACACTTGTGCGCGCTGGCCGAACTGCTGGTCGCTTTGCCACCACCTCTGGGATGACGCGGCCGGGGGTCCTCTGGCGCAAGCGCGCCAGCCTCGGTCAGACTTGGGGGCCCCAGGAGGGGCCCGAAGCCCTCGAGCTCCCCGTCCTCGAAGTTCCGAGCCACGTCGAAAACCCTCTCCTCGGCCTCCTCGACCTCCTCCTCCTCCTCGACCTTCTCCTGCTCCTCCTTCTCCTCCTCCTCCTCCTCGACCTCCTCCTCCTCCTCCTCCTCGTCCTCCTCCTCCTCGACCTCCTCCTCGACCTCCTCCTCCTCGCCCTCGGTGGCCTCCCGTTCGTCACCCGTGCCGCCCGTGGGCGCCCTCGCCGTTGTGGCGCCCGTGCGTGCAGCAACGTCGTGTTACGCAGAGGGTCCAGCGATCCGATCGAGCATATTCGGCATCGATTCCAGCTGGCCCGATCCGCCTCCATGTGTACATGCCGACGATTCGATTCGGCCCGATGCCTGCACGGCGCTGCTGTGCATCCCGGTTCGGCCGATTCGATTCGGCCTCGGCTCCGCGCCAGTGCGGCCCGATCAGGCGCGCGGTCCGATCTGGTCCGATTTCCCCGATTGGATGCTGACTGACCATGGTTTCGTGGCTCTGCCAGGCCTGTCTCAAGGTCTACATAATGGTCGGCCACGCGCAGAGGGGGGATGTTGGAGGGGGGAAGGCTTCTTAGAAGCGCCCTGCTGCTTCTTAGAAGGCGCGGGGCTCATCTATAGATGTGGGGCCGGCACCTTCTAAGAAGTAGTCTCCTTATAAGAAGCCTTCCCCCCTGCTCCTACCCCCCCTGTGCGCGCTGCCGACTGGTTTCGTGGCTCCGCCATTCTTGCCTCACGGTCCCTAGGGACACAACGACATTCGCACTCCGCGCGCCGCGGCCTGTGCCAGAGAGATGCCCTTGTACATGGTCGTGGCCCCGCGTGGGCGCGAAGGTAACCGCGCGTCGCTCATCGCGGGGCGCTGCGCGAAAAGTTAGGCGGCCTGTAGACCCGGACCCCCGACGTCATGACTTTTTCGCAGCGTCGACCCCCAGAGGTGTCGGCCCATTTCCCGGGACCAGCTTTTCCGTCCTGAGCCTTTTTTGCACGGCCCCGGGGCCTAGGAAGGGCCCCCAGAGGCCGAGAGTGCGTAGCGAAAACATGTCCGTCGCATTCTGGGGGTGTCGGATCCCGTGGTCCCGCC